AGGAAGCATTTTATTAGCACAGCCTGGCGGTTTGGTGTGCATGCGTCCTACCCTCGCAATGCTTTCCCATTGAAGCATTGGATTTGCTGAGATCGATTTATTTCAGCCGACGTGATCAGATAAGTAAATCGTACCTTTTAGACCCTCATGGGGGACAGACACATACATAGTTTGTATTCCTAATGCTATAGTGTTCCCTCTAAAAATCATTTGGAGATGTGGTGGGATGTCTGTTGGCAGACTATTCCAGAAAAGAGGCTGCAGGTAGGAATTAGGCCTGTCAGAACACTAGATTATGTCCTGGGATATTGGAAAAAGTCATTAGTTTGTACTTGCCCCTCAACTGAAAGACTTTAGCACTCCCCCAGTAAAAACAAAGCACAATAATATAAAGCATTAAAAGGTACAGAGAATTCTCTAAATATTAGGGACTCGCGGGAGTTAGAGAGAGGGAAATGCTGTAATGTGCTCCTGCAGTCTGCTGGGTCCCCTCTGCAAATACAGGGAGCAGGGGGCCCGTGGCTGCACATATATATAGCGATCATCATCGCTATATATATGTGCAGAGAGGGAAAGTGGGGCCCAAGTCTGCCAAAGCCGTCTGGGCCCCCCACGACCGCCGGGCCCGTGACAACCGTCATGGTTGTCACCCCCTGACGGTGGCCCTGGGTTTACCCCATATGTAATGCATATGTACAGTAACAATATTTAGTTTATAGCCTACTCTCTACATGTCTAACCAATGTTTATAGCTGGATAATTCTGTAGTAATCCAATATCCTCGACATGTGCCTAGCTTGACTTATTTTCTTGTTTGCAAACCTAAAGCTCAGCTGAAATAATTATATAAAAATCTGCACATTTATATTTATAAATAATTATATAAAAATGTGCAGTGTTTTCAATACCACAAATATGTTCTACTATGTCTATTCATGTTTGCCCCAGCTGTACTCCAAGCACGATAATACTCCAAGCATCATAACCAATACAGCGTACTGTAGTGGTTATGGTGCCAACCCGCTCCCCTACATTGTAACTAATCAAACTGTTTTAGAATTTATTGACTTCTTACCTGGGATCTGCCAGGTGCAAATTCCCGTCTCCACTACTTCTAACATAAAGCTGAAGACAAAGGGCCGAATACATCAAATGATTGTCCACTTCCGTACATAACTAGAACAGGGCTGTAAGTCTTTAGAAAGCTTCTTTAACATGTAGTTAAGGTCTTTAATACCGTCCCAAAATGTTACACACTGGGGAAAAAAAACATAATTTGACTTTACAACTTTAGATTAATATATACATGTTAGTACTCTGTTTATTTTTCCACTATTTGTTTGCTCATTTAAGGTCAGGTCCAGAAAACGAGGAAGTTTTTGCGAGACCGATATATATATAAATCAAGCACACTGACAGTGTCACTGCCACATGCACACACAGATTGAAGCTCGTACACAAAAGCTCACTGCTACATGCAGAAGCCCACTACACACTTCACTAACAGACACACATGCTCACTACAGACAAGCACACTCAATCACATACCACACACACTCATTGGTGTTGTCCATTTAAAGCGTATTAGCACCTTGACAGCAGACTGTGGACGCAAGGAGGGCGCTGTTTCCCAGGCTCTTCCAGTCGCCTCTTGCAAGGGTGGCCTTTTGAGTCCTGACTCCTTCCGGTTTCCCCCTTGCAGATAATAATATACAGCCAGTGCCTGCAGCATATCACCGTGCCCTCACACTTCTTTCCCTGCTAGATTCGGGTACAGGATAATTAAATCTTCTACTTTAGTCCTGATCAGCCATGTTACAAATTTGAAGGCGGGATGTGGTGCTCTGTGCACCCCATTCTTGTCACTTAGGACTAACTGGCCCCTCCACTCCCCACTAGGTGCGCTACTGGGGTGAAGTTGGATGGACAGGGCTTTTATCCCGTTACCATAATTTAGATAAAAATGCAAACATTAACCCACTAAACACACAACAAACAAAACTAGCTGATCTGGAAAAATTCTCCAACTCAACTACCATCACCACTTGCTATTATAGTATGAGTTTTGCATTTTGGTTTTCTGTTGACGTTTAGCGACCAAACCTAAAACTGGATTACCCATAAGGTGGCTGCTGAGGGGCCTGAGCTCACACTGGGACCCAGTGGCCCCTGTCTAGGCCTTGAGCTCCAGTTTGTGAGGGTTTGCCCCAGCAGGTCAGGCAGGGGACGTCAAGGGGCTGCAGTAATGGGTCAGCAGGGGACATCAGCAGATCAGTCCAGCTTTATTTTATTTCATGATAGTGCCAACCAAGTGGCCAGAAATAACAATAGTTGAAGGCACCCAGTGCTAAGAAGGGCCCCAGACCACACTCTCTGCTATTTGTTCCCAAGATGCATCTGCCTGCCAGCACTGTGTGTAAAGGAGAGAGGGGAAAGGATCTTACAGTATCAGTCCCTGCCCTCTCCAAAGAGGTCCATTGCCATTAAGGGGAACTTGTCTCAGCAGGAGTTGTTACTCTAGTCTACAGGAAGCAGGCAAATAGGTGGGAGAGAGGGAGACACCAGGGCTGGTAGGGGTGGGAGAGAGATACACACCATGAGTAGGATAGAGGGGGGCACCAGGGACAGGAAAGAGATACACACCAGGGGTGGGATATAGAGAGATACCAGGGATAGGAAAGATATACACACCAGGGGTGGGATAGAGAGAGATACCAGGGATAGGAAAGAGATACACACCAGGGGTTGGATAGAGAGAGATACCAGGGATAGGAAAGAGATACCTAGGGGTGGAATAGAGAGAGATGCCAGGGATATGAGAGAGATACACACCAGGGGTTGGATAGAGAGAGATACCATGGGTAGGAGAGAGAGAAACACCAGGGGTGGGATAGAGAGAGACAGCAGGGATAGGAGAGAGATACACACCAGGGGTGGGATAGAGAGAGACAGCAGGCATAGGAGAGAGATACACACCAGGGGTGGGATTGAGAGCGATACCAGGGATAGGAGAGTGATAAACACCAGGGGTGGGATTGTGGGAGCCTCCAGAAATGATGGTTTGGAACAGATGGAGACACCAGGAGTGGGTGAGGGATATTGTGAAACACTGTACTATGTAACATGTAGGATTCAATAGATACAGATAGGAAAATATGGTATTAATTACTTGACAGCATATATATTGTACATAATGCTTGGCAACAGTTCCACGTGCTACTCATCAATGTGTGTATGTGATGTGTTCAAATATACATGGTTGATCTGAACAGTTGGATATAATGAAGGACAAAGTGGGTCTGGAATGGAGGGAGAGACATGTGGGGCATGGTATGGAGAAAGTAGCTGTAAGATAAAGGAGTCTGAGACATGGAGAGACCAGAAAAGGTCAGAATCACACACTTCCACATCCGCTCCAACATCCAGACTTCTTTAACAAACCTTGACACACCCCTGCATTCAGACACAATGCACAAATACATCCCTGCTATTACACACTGCTATTACATGCAAGTAAAATCCTGTATTTACACACACTGACACTATACAGAAACATGTAGGTTTGTATCATGACGCTACACCCCAATACATCCATCAGACATACATTGTGAATCTACTCGCAGACACTGGTTCACAGACATGCTCTACACACAAACACATTCCTGTACACTTTATTGCATCCTTAAATTCCACACATGCTTGTATTACCAACAAACACACACATACAATCACAACAATAGTAATATGTAAACACACAAATGCACTAGATACACACACCTACACCTTCCTGACAATATACACGCTTAAACAGGAGTCCATACACACTATACTTTCAGTTCACATTCTTTGGTGGGGCAGATAAAGGTGTAATGAAGAAAAAACGTTAGGTGTCTTAACCTCCTCAACAAAACTATAGCAATTTAGAGAAATTCTAATTTTTGTTCTCTGTATTAACAAATTTAAAAAAAAAACTTATTTCTATTAAATAACAAATAAAACTTTTGGATAGGTGATGAGTGTTTGATACACTTTTTGGAAGTCAAGTTGTTCTGGCTGGATTGCTTGCACAAGTGACTAACGAAGCCACAAACAGTTCTATTTCTACATAATTTCGCACCTTTACCGGTCCTCACGCACCTAAACACAAAATATAGCAGCACGTACCATCACCCGCTGTGTGCTACCTAAAATTCCTGTCTGAATTTACCATTCGTTACTTTAAACACCTTCAGCATACACATGACAGTTCCTATAAAAGTCAAGTAAAACTGATAGAGACTTTGGCTAACCCTTTATAACAGGACCCATGGGGAAAATTAGTGTTTTATAAAGTACTGCTTGTCAATCATAGTAGCGGTATGATATACCAGGCCTATGGCCAGTGTAGGGCAACACATAGTCCAGAACACGAACATTAATACAGGTTACTGATATCAAGTATAAACTGTGCTATGTAAATAAATCTAAAAAGTACTCCTAGGCATATGAACTTTGGATATTTTTATTAGTGAACTTCAACATGTGGACCCATGGAGACTGTATAAAGAATTTATTTTAATTACATTTAATAATTCAACCTACCTTGATATTAGATTACTTTTGTATAAAACTCTTTTATATGAGACATTAAACCTAATATATGGGGCACTAATATGTTTACCCATGTAAACAATTACATGGGTTAGCATCAAAGTATATTTACCATTAAATGGTTATCAGAGCATTAAAGATTTTTATTGAACAGTAGCATGATAGTAAAGCAGCCAAACAAATTTGCATAAAACAATGGTGATGTCATAATAAGGTGAATTCTAGGCTTACCTGTGAATAGAGGCATCAAAGTTCTATGGTCCATTCCTGGTTGGAATTCAAGACAGAAAAAGCTAATTTCTGACTTAGGAGAAGACAACATTTTTGTGAATATGTCAGCTCTACCGATGTGCAAAGGTGAGCTACAGTGCTTTATGAAGTCCTCAAGAAACAAGAGTTTTTCTTATGCCATGAAAGACGACAAGCAGAAGCTCGTGAAATTCCGTGAGACAAATTGGCAGCAGCAAAAATTCATTGCTGGAAATCAGGAGTTTAATCAAGAGCTGGTTAACTGGCGTCCAACACCGGGCAAAATGAAGATGAAGAGACCACAGCAGGTGATCTATCAGAGCAATTTTCAGGCCAAATCTGGAATACAGGTTGGAAAACCAGAATTAAGAGTGTTTCAGAAGAAAAGGAGGTACACTGATAGCTACCGTGGAGAGATGCCCTGGCATAACATGATGTCCAGAGAACAAAATTACCAGTTTGGGGGTGAAAGCCCTAGGAATGATGTTTGGCAAGCAGGTAAAAGAGGAAAGTGGGACTATAATCAAGGAATGAAGAATGAGAGCCCAATGTCTCATGGAGGTAAGAGGAGAAGTGGAAGAGGTTGGGGAGATCAGATAAACAGAGGCAAACAAGGGTTTAGCCACAGTGGAAGACAGGATTTGGAAACATGTCCCATTCGTAGCAGAATGACGATGAAGGAGCTTGACGAGAAACTTGCTGCATATACCATAAATACAGAGGTTACTAATAAGGAAGTCAACAACTCCAGTGTAGAAGATACTTCCAGTGAAAAAATGGAAATTGATATGCCCATTGTTGAAAGCCTTCCCGAGCCAGAAAATTTTGATGGAATATTCAACAATCATGGTCATTATAATGCACAGCAATTTGGCAGCATGTTCACCTCTGTAAAAATGACCTGCTATGTGGAAAAACACTTTTAAATAAACATCGAATGAGATGAAATATACAGCCTTGGGTCTTTTTCTTTCTTACCTGCGTTCCTCCCCACATTACTACACAGGTAGAATTGGTGTTCATGTATCTAATTTGTTGAAAGTTGTAGCTTCCTTAGTTATCAATTAGATAAGCTGGTGGCCTCTAAGGAATGCTGAGACTTTTGCTCATTCACTGCGTATAGTGGGTGTAGAGTAGACTGGTGTAAATTGTTTAAATGTGTGTTGCCCATTTAGGACCAGTGACATGTATTTGCCTAACCCCTGGTATTTAACTTTTTGGAAGTGAATGTAATTTTATGTACCGGTACTCTAATTTTGCTTTCAGGGTAATTTAATAAAATGAGAACTGTCGTGAACTGAAAGTGAATTTGAAATTCACTTTTGAATTTCTGGCTAATTCTCACTTTAGTAAATAACCGTACATGTGTTCATTGACATATAATTATATTTACGCAGAGGAGTGCTGTCAAAGTGTGGATAGGGCATTAAATACAACTACGTGGCCCGTTGTGGCAGCAGAACCAGCCCAGGCAAGTTTATTTTTGTGTGTTTTTTTTTTTGTTTTTTTTAAATCAATTATTTATCTATTATTGCAATCTAAAAAAAATACATGAAACTTTATATCAGGATGCACAATTCCATGTTCCAGTCTACCAGCTAGGCCATAACAGATACATAAAGACAGAACGGATGGAAAAACAACCCCGTGTTTTATAGGGCTCTCGCAATGGCAGAGTAGGCACCTGCTTACGTGGTAGGAGCGTACATTGCCCAAATAAATACACAAGTCTGGGGAAGCGCAGGTGGTGAAGGGACTGTACAATTACTGTGCTCGGCCTACATAGCTTTCTCACTAACCCTGCCCTGATGCCATTAGCCAGGATGTGACATTGCTCTTCCCGGAGATGGGCAGGCAGAGCACAGTGATCCCAGCAACACTGACTGACTGCCCTCCCGGGAGAGGATACACTAAATTTCTCCCAGGGACAAGTAGGAAGGCTGGGTGGATGTAGAAAATAAATAAAAGTTGTGTGTATGTTTGTGTGACAATGTGTATGTGATTATTTGTGCAAGTATGTATGTGTGTATGTATATACCAGCACTTTGCCTTACTGACTAGAACTGTATTGGAAAACTTGGTGCACTATCAGGACTTCCAACAAATGTCCTTTATAATATTAAATGCAGGTTAAATAAAAACAAATCCACGTTTCAGCCCCACTTGGGCCTTTAAACCCTTAGTCTCAAATCCCCTTGATATAGAGAATAAGTAAATAATACTCGCCAGTATGTTACCCCTTTTTGCTTTGTGTGGTATGTAAGACAAGTTACCGAAAGCCCCCCAAAATGATGTGTACGCAACCAGCATCTTGGTTATTATGGTGCATGACAGTGAGTGAAACAAGTGTCACCTCCAAAATACTTCTAAGTGCACAATCTTTATTACATGGCTGGCTACTTACCGTAAAAAAAACAACATTGTATGGTACCACAGTGAAAATTAAAAAAAATGAAGAAATAATCGCCACTGACAAATACCTCCTGGCGAATCTACTAAACCGTGTACTAAACAACGGTACAGTAAATAGCCGAATTCCCCAGAGTACTAGCAGGGAATCCTGAAAATAAAAGGTTTTACTTACATGAAACCCACCGACAGGCTAAGCTCCATGCGCTGCATTTTCGCTCCCCCTTGTGGCTTCACTGGGGCTGTGTGCGGCCCAGTCACAGGCTTCTCATAGTTAAAGGACCACTATAGTGCTAGGAAAACATACTGGTTTTCCTGGCACTATAGAGCCCTGAGGGTGCCCCCACCCTCAGAGACCCCCTCCTGCCCGGCTCTGGAAAGGGGTTAAAACTTACCTTTTCTCCAGCGCTGGGCGGGGAGCTCTCCTCTTCCGATCCTCCTCCTCCTCTCCGCCCATTCGGCTGAATGCGCACGCGCGGCAAGAGCTGCGCGCGCATTCAGCCAGTCGCATAGGAAAGCATTTACAATGCTTTCCCATGGACGCTTGCGTGTTCTCACTGTGATTTTCACAGTGAGAAGCACGCAAGCGCCTCTAGCGGCTGTCAATGAGACAGCCACTAGAGGCTTTGGAGGAAGGCTTAACCCATTTATAAACATAGCAGTTTCTCTGAAACTGCTATGTTTATAAAAAAAATGGGTTAACCCTAGCTGGACCAGGCACCCAGACCACTTCATTAAGCTGAAGTGGTCTGGGTGCCTAGAGTGGTCCTTTAAGCCTGTGATTTGGACCAATTCGCCAGCTCAGAGCGCATGTGTGCATTGCAGGCCAACAAGGTTAGAAAGTGGGGTGGGAGGGATTTTTACAAAACAAATAAACAGAAGTGACAGAGGGAGTGTGAACTGACAACAGACGTAATTTATGCACACAGTTCTGGGCTGCAAATATCACAAGTGCTAGGGATGTAACTTGCCTCTGGCACACAATTACATATGTGCAGTGTTTCAAGCTGTAACACTGCACATACTGAGTCCTGTCACCATGACCACATCAAATCACTAAGTGGTCATGGTGGGTGGAGCCATCTGTATTGGCATGATCAAATCATATGGTATATAGAGTGTCCTGTGGAATATGGCTTTTATTATTTTCCTTTATGCCATAACACTACAGATGTATCATAGTCAATACTTGACAATAAGGAGCATTGCTTATAGCCGGGCGGATTGCACAATATGGTAACAATTGTTTTTCAAATCCGCACTTTATATCTCCTAAATATCTGATTTAAAAGCATTGATGGTCATATACACAACACTCAAGACTCCCCTACACACAGACACAAACACCCCCAAAAAAAATAATCTACTACTCACTGTGCCTAAAAAAATCATGTAGTTTTTTAAATTAATCAGTAGAGTTAGTTATCTCTCTGCATTGAGATACTTTCCATGTCTCTGACACATACGGCTCTAGAAGGGGGCCTCAATCTGTCCAGCCTAGGACCCCGGGCCACCTTTATCTATTCTGCCTAAAACCCAGAGACACCTAGTGAAACCAAGCAAGTTTATGAATATGTTGAACATAATGTCCACAGATTGGAGTCATACTTTGGAATGCAGAATTCTAAACAGGAATATTTGTGAATAACAAAATCTTGACTATGGATCCTATGGAAGCTAAAATTAAAATGTTCATTAACTTTAAATACACCTGTTAGACAGGGTGTGCTACTGCAGGGCAACAAACATTCAAAAGTCAGCATTGTATTCTGCATTATTGCCTGAAGACATTTGTGTTAGCTTCCTGTCTAAATGATCACAAAGTACACAGTCACACTGAAGAATTGCAAAAGGCAGAGATTTGTACTAAAGCAAACATGACTCTAACCCTTTCAGGGCCAATCCATTGTATTGTAAATAGTAATGCATTCATCTCCTCTCTGGAACCCAAAGAGTTACGTGCTGTGTTATTAGAAGAGTCCTTCAGACCTGTACACTGAAATAACATGGGGCATTTTTAATCATTTTAAATCTCATGTCCCTTGAAGGACCACTAAAGTCACCCTGACCACTTCATTTCAAAAAAGTGAACTGGATGCATATGTTCTGTAAATTTAACATCGCAATGTAAAACGCTACTGTTTTGTTGAAACTGCAGTGTTTCCATTGCAGCGTTTTATACACCGCTAATGGCTGTCTTCCTGACAGCCACTAGAGGTGCTTTGTTCTTCAGAACTGAGTAAAACTCAGTCAGGGAATCAAATGCTGTTAATAGCTGTATTTGATTGGAGGAGCACAGCGATTGGATGCCCCAGTCAACAATCCATTGCCTCTCTATGAGAAACATTGGATTGGAGGAGATTGCAAAAGATGTTAGCAGACATGGCCTCCTCCACAATAGTCTAATCTAATGCCCCTCCTAATGGAGCACTGGGGACTGGATGCCCATGCACGATGAGCATCGCATGTGCATCCAAACTTACCCAAAGGAAAACCGTGCATTCAGTGTTTTCCCATGGGCTCCGGCATCACATGAAAGGGTTACATTGCAGATTTAAAAGAACAGGGTCACTGCAGCCACACCACTTCATTGAGATGAAGAGGTCTGGGTGACTTTTGTGGTCCTTTAAGTCCACATTTATTTGCTAATTTTCCCAGTTGTAATTTAATTTAAAAAGAAAAAAAATAACTTTCCAAAACATAAAATAAACCATCTTTAAAACAGTTATATCAATTAGTCCGTATCACCTGTGTTTTATCCAAGGTTTTATTTTCCGTTTGTAGAATAAATAAATATATACTTGAGTATACTTGAGTATACTTGAGTATAAGACGAGTTTTTCGTCACATTTTTGTGCTGAAAAACCCCCACTCGTCTTATACTCGAGTCAATGTCTGTATTATGGCAACCTACATTGCCATAATAGAGACCAGGACCGCCAGGCTCATTATAAGCCCTGCGGTCCTGTTGGGGGGCTGGCCGCGAGCTGTAACTTACCTTTTATGCAGCTCTTGTCAGCTCCCTTCTCCTCAGTGCCGGTCAGCTCCCCTGTCAGTTCCCACTGTAAGTCTCGCGAGAGCCGCGGGGTCAGAGCGCTGCACTCAGACCGCGAGACTTACAGTGGGAGCTGACAGGGGAGCGGACCGGCACTGAGGAGAAGGGAGCTGACAAGAGCTGCAGGAAAGGTAAGTTACAGCTTGTTGCCAGCCCCCCTCCTGCGCAGCCCATGCCACTGGACCACCAGGGAATGTTAAAGCACCCCTCCCTAGCCATGTATCAAGCAGGGAGGGGGGGCAAAAAAAATATTAATAATTGAAATAATATAATAAAATAAAAAATAATATTAAAAATAAAAATATTAATATTAAAATAATAATAAAAAATAATAATAAAAATGCCCACCCCCCAGCAAGGTTACACACTCTGCATCACATACACAAACACACACTGCACACATACGCATACACACACACACTGCACTCATACACACACACTGCACTCATACACACACACTGC